TGAAGTTGGACACTTAACCGACTGAGCCACCCAGGTGCCCCCCCAACCTTTAAAAATAGTTCTAAACTGTTCCAAATGGGTTAGGCATGTGTGTGCTCAGAGACAGATTCTAGGGTGATTTCTGGAAGTTCCAGTACATATTAAGAACATTAATCAAACAACTAAGGAAACATATTCGTATCATAGACAATTCTACAAAATTTTTAATACAACATTAAGACATCAGAATGGTCACATTACTGAAAAGAAAAAGCATCTGCAATGAAGAATGTAGCAAATGGCAGAGTACCCTGACTGGAGAACACCCCTGACTGGAGAGTAGGAAGTACATTGTCGGGGCGCCTGGGTGGTGCAGTCGGTTAAGCGTCTTGACTTCAGCCAGGTCACGATCTCGCGGTCCGTGCGTTCGAGCCCCGCGTCAGGCTCTGGGCTGATGGCTCAGAGCCTGGAGCCTGTTTCCGATTCTGTGTCTCCCTCTCTCTCTGCCCCTCCCCCGTTCATGCTCTGTCTCTCTCTGTCCCAAAAATAAATTAAAAAAGTTGGAAGTACATTGTCTAACCACTTCTCATTTGATGTTGACAATAGGCCTGTTGACTGCTGAAACAAAAGCATTTCCATAACTTAGAAAATCTATTTTTAAGACATGTTTGTGTTGAAAAAATGGTTTAGAAGATGTGTTTCTAGGAATTGCCTGACACAAGGGAGGAAAGGTATGGGAAGACCAATCACCCTGGCAATTCAGGGAGTGGTGAGCAATTTCCCAGTATTTGATTATAACATAAAAAGTGCACAGCTTTGTTAAAATGGGAAACAAGTAACCAGCAGAAATACTAGGGTTTTTAGGCCTCATTGTGTAGTAGAGAGCCTCAGTTTCGGCTGCATATGCACATTCTTTTTCTGAGGCCACGTGCATTACCTTCAATAATAGCACTAACAAAATTGCTCTTACATACTTTAAATTGCTTTTAAAAATATCATTTTTGTTCCTTCTTGGAATATTTTATTTCATAAAGCAATCCATTACTTCTGATACGTGTTGGGCATGCATATATTCATTCATCAATTATTCTTGCCTGTAGATATTTTTTCAGGAAAAAAATGATTAAATTTTGATCCCATCAAGAAAAACACTGTCAACATTATTAGTTTTTCACTGGCAGTAATGACCTATTTTCTTAAAAAATATAGTTAGAATTCTTTAAAAAAAAAAAAAGGTTTTTTGGAATACACTAGTTAAAGAATGATATGTGAGTGCGTACGAAGAATGGCTACCAAGTAACAAGACTTTTCCCCCAGTAGCCCGTGGAATCATCATTTTATAGAGATCCAAAGAGGAAAGCCAGCAGGAGTCCTACCCAAACAGAAATGCAATGAAAGGAATCTAGCTCCTCTGAATATACAGAAACTGGAATTGTGTTTGTGTTCTGTACTGGATATAACCAAAACAGCCCCAAATTCCCCATTTCCTCAAAGCTAAAAGCACAGGCCTGCATCAGTTAAATAGATGAGTAAACAAGAAAGTCAACACAGGACAATTAATTAACTAGTGGATGATCACCGTCAGCAGGGAGTTGGGAGAATGTTATTTCTAGCAAACATGGAGGTAAAACTCTCCTGATAAACTGAGGCATTGCAAGGGCTAACAAATTATTTGTAAAGAAAGTATATTCAACTGATAGAGAAAATGCAATATATGTAATTACCTTGGCCCTACAGTTATAAATGTCAGTGGACTCTGGGAAGATACATACAGGCAGGCTGTTGACGTTTTAAGGTTGTTTGCTTTAATGCAATCATTAAACTTCCAGAAATGATCCAACATTTTAACTTTATAGGTTTTATAGTTTTTTTTAAAAAAAGTTTATTTACTTATTTTGAGTGTTTATTTACTTATTTTGAGCAGGGGAGAGGCAGAGAGAGGGGGAGACAAAGAGAATCTCAAGCAGGCCCTGCACTGCCAGCGTGGAGCCTGATGTGGAGCTCGAACTCACGAACCATGACATCATGACCTGAGCCGAAATCAAGAGTTGGACGCTTAACCAACAGCCACCCAGGCGCCCCAGGTTTTTTGTTTTGTTTTGAGTAGAGTATTTTTTTCACATGTTGTCAGTTGTGTATTAACATCATCATAGTTTATCAGTTTGAGGGTTGAAATTTCTTCCCTCTTAATGCAAACT